ATATATATTATTTCACATTTTAATTTAAAAAATAAAACTCTATAATTAAAATAACAGTTTAAGTTTATAAATATTTTTATTTTATTTTTCTCAGTAAAAAATAAAAATAAAAAACCAAAAAAATAAAAACATATGAGATCTAACATGGTAGATATCCAAACATATGATATAAGTTGTAGGTAGAGATATAAATATGTCAAACCTTAAATAAAGATATATAGCTTGATCTATTTAAAATATGATCTAAATTGATCTATTTAAAATATGATCTAAATTGATCTATTTAATAAAAATATTAAATTTAAATTTTTTTTTAAAATTATTTATTTAAAAAATTAAACTTAGACTAATAAAAAAATATGTTAAGTCTGATAAGTCAACTTATTTATTTATATGATATAAAAAAAATACAATTTCATTCTTAACAATACAATTAAATATATATATATATATATATATATATATTTATAATACATAAAATTAAGTTATTAATATTTTTGACATTTTCAATACACTTATGTATTTTACATTTCCTATTCGTATGAAATAAAAAATCGAAACTCTAGTAATTGCATCTTCACTTGTATTTTTTGTTCATCTTAGACTATTCCAAAAGGATGTAAAAAATATCTAGAAATTTTTTTTGGAATAACGTTATCTTCTTTCATTATAATCTGTGCGTGAATATATATTAATGTATGTGAAATATGCATGAATTGTCCTTCTTATTTTTTTAACTCTAAAATTTAATAATAATACAATAAATCATTTTTTATCATAAAAATTAAATTTATTAATTTATTTAATATCATTGAAAATATGCTTTTAAATAGATTAAGACTTTTAAAATGATCAAATCAATAAAAAAAATGTCATGTCAATGGAAAAAATTTATAATAAATAATAAATAAAATTTAATCTTTAATTTTATAAAACATATTTGTCATATATATTTCTAGTCCAGTCTTGTGAGAATAAAGGTTGAAGACATATTTCCTAAGTAACGAACTGCAATTCCCTTGAACTGCTTCGATTCAATGAGTTTGGCACCATCGCTACTTCTCAGTGTATAGCCGCGGTTTCTACTCACCAAACGGTCTGTGTGTATGGCCCATGGGATTGAAGAGGATATCAAAGACAAAATTATATCTAAAAATTATATTTATACACTCATTTATAGTAGTAAAATCATGTGTTCATTTAGGGCGAATTCACATCCAAGACAAAATTGAATAGAAATCTTTTAATTAATTAATATAATTATTTAATTTTTTATATTTATAATTTTTAGAATTTTCAGCTATATAAAAGTAATTTGTATTAAAATTGACTTTATTTGAGATTGCTTAGGGCAACAACTCACAGGTTTTTTTAACATCATGTGACATTATTACAAATCTTGATGTATAACTTTGTGATCTATATCATGGTATTCATGCAACTTGAAACAAAGTTTTGGTGACACAAATTTTTCAGAATCATGTAACATTACTACAAATCCCAATGCAGAACTCTTTGGTCTATACATGTTCTTCACACCATTTGAAACAAAGGTTTCCGCGATCTCATTTGAAAATTTAACTCAACATCTGCAATTTAATTTGTTAAATAACCTATTTATGAGCAACATTCATATGCAACTTTCATCTTTAAGATTCATCGAATTTGGATCCTCTCCTCTCCTGCAATCCTCTCTCTCTAGTCTCTCTCTAATTCAATGGTTTAACAAAAGAGAGGTTAGAGAGAGAGGATTGCAGGAGAGGAGAGGATCCAAATTCGACGAATGTTAAAGATGAAAGTTGCATATGAATATTGCTCGTAAATAGGTTGTTTAACAAATTGAATTGCAGATGTTGAGTCAGATTTTCAAATGGGATCGCGGAAACCTTTGTTTTAAATGGTGTGAAGAACATGTATAGGGCAAATAGTTCTGCATTGAGATTTGTAGTAATGTTACATGATTCTGAAAAATTTGTGTCACCAAAAACTTGTTTCAAGTTGTGTGAATACTATGATATAAACCATAAAGTTATACATCAAAATTTGTAATAATGTCACATGATGTTAAAAAAACCTATCAGTTGTTGCTCTAAACAATCTCAAATGAGGTCAATTTTAATAGAAATTACTTTTATATAGCTCAAAATTCTAAAAATTATAAATATAAAAAGTTAAATACTTATATTAATTAATTAAAAGACTTCTATTCAACTTTGTCTTGGCTGTAAATTTGCCCTAAATGGAGACATGATTTTACTACTATAAATGAGTGTATAAATATATTTTTTAGATATAATTTTTAATTTACAATTATTGTTTATTTTTAAATAATTTTCAATATAAATAAGTGATTATTTTATTATATTAAATACGAAAAAAAGTGTCTTTTTTCGAGAAGGGCCCTTTGATATCCTCTTGAATCCCATGGGCCATACACATAGACGGTTTGGTGAGTAGAAACGGCGGCTATACACTGAGAGGCAGCGATGG